GACACTTTAGCACCTACTAAGGGTATCTCATGTTCAGTCTAGTGACAGGGTATGTTCCAGATCAGATCCCATCGCATACTGCATAGCGGTTCTTGTTAGTGATTTCGATAGTGCAGTATAAATGTCACAGAGAATTTAGTTTAGTATATCACATTCGATTCCTACTCCTCTTTACAACTATCTACAATATGCTGAGTAACAGTTATTACTTAACTCTTCCTGAGAAGGCCGTCTTCATCCGGGGACGAACAGCTGAGATGGGTACGGGAGAACGGACTGAAGAAGGACTACGACGAAGGAATTAACGACCCCCTTACCAATTCCTGGACTTCAGGTCCTGTTCGAGTGTGGATACGTAGACTTATGCACTATGCAGCTTGCCTTTCTCCCAGTGGACGATGTTCTCCCTTCTTTCATGGAGCTCCTAGATCTTATACCCTCCAACCTTGGCCTCGACGACTTCCTTGACTACTTCATGACGAATTGGGTACAGGGAGTTTCCACCGCTCGTAGCACCAAACCTGCCCGCTTTCCTCCGCAATCCTGGAACCTCGTCGACCGGACTACCTGCAACTTCAACAAGACAAACAACTACGCAGAGGCCTTTAACAGAAATTTTGCAGCAATGTTGGGACACTCTTACCCAACTATCTGGACTTTTCTTCAAGCCGTCTACATAGAATAGTCCACTACAGTGCAGATGAGATGATGCTCAAGGAGAGTTACGGGGATGCTCCTCCTGCAAAATGAGCCCGTCAGCGTACCAAGGACAGCCGACTGGCACATTTAGTAAAAGTCTACGACGATCATGAAATTGTCTCACTCTCCCACCTTGACATGTTGAGGAACATGATGGTCGAGGAGCTGAGTGAACTATTTTGATTCGCAGTATTACGATTAATGTATAATAAGTTGTATCAATTCTATCATCATTATGTGACGACTATTATTAATCATTGATTAAAAAACATAGCTCAATCTTCAAAACTAACTCTCAAATTTCTAACCGCTCTAAAATTTGCATGTGGGTACCGCTCTAGAGTCTTCATAGTATGGGTCCGGTAAGGGAGTTCCGCTCTGGAGTCCTACCCTGGCGATTTGACTCCGCTCTAGGGTCCTCATAGTATGGGTCCGGTAACGGGGTTCCGATCTAGAGTCCTACCCTGGCGATTTGACTCCGCTCTAGGGTCCTACTTTCGAATTTGCTTTTCTTGAATAGTCAAATGTTTGGTATATGTTTGATATAATACATTTCTATTTTCTTTATTTGTCATATGAATCTTTAAAGATCATTGCAAGCGTTATAAAGCATGAAACATGTCTCTTATTCAAGTACTAATAATAATTTGTGAATTTAAAGTCATCCTAAAGGTCAAATATGAAGACCTAAATTCATGGCATAAATTGGCATAAATGGAGAATTGGCCAAACAAAATTTCCATTTATGCCATGAAATTTCTATGCCATTTGATGAATTTTATGCCATTTGTCTCCATTCTATGCCATTGGTACCCCCCCAACTGGTCTTAAACGACCTTGTTACCATGGTTAGTTGGTTACCATGGTTACCTTGTTACCATGGTTACCTTGTTACCATGGTTACCTTGTTACCATGGTTACCTTGTTACCATGGTTACCTTGTTACCATGGTTACCTTGTTACCGTGGTTACCTTGTTACCTTGTTACCATGGTTACCTTGTTACCATGGTTACCTTGTTACCATGGTTACCTTGTTACCATGGTTACCTTGTTACCATGGTTACCTTGTTACCATGGTTACCTTGTTACCATGGTTACCTTGTTACCATGGTTACCTTGTTACCATGGTTACCTTGTTACCATGGTTACCTTGTTACCATGGTTACCTTGTTACCATGGTTACCTTGTTACCATGGTTACCTTGTTACCATGGTTACCTTGTTACCATGGTTACCTTGCATGATTCCGGATGATTTATCTCTTAGTGTGAACTACATCGTAAAATTAGAACTTCGAGTGCACTTAAATTTCTAATTTTCATACAAATTTATTCGGAGCCGAAAAGGAGGCTGCTACCTACTTTTTTAACATAACCATGTGTTCGACGTTGGTTTTGCAAATCAAGGGGAAAGGGACACCTACCGTTTCAAATAAATAAGAAAAGGAACTACAAGAATGTGGTTTTCAAAACTGAAAATTGCCTTAATATGTTATGAAAAGGAAACCTGATATTAACCTTCGAAATTTGAATTGCACCGGAATGTTTAATTTTACGATGGGTTCTTAAAACAAAGCAGTGATTTGGATGGTTTTTTAGTGGACAATGAAAGATCTTGTTTTAAAAAGTGCATATAATTGTTGTTTTTAAGAAAAAAAAATAGAAAAATTACCTTTTTATCTTTGTCCGCCTTTTTTCCATCCAGTTGCTGCCCTAAAAAACAGTTAGTACCGCTATATCTACACTTTATCTACACTCCTTTTCACTGTTTTCTTGTATTCATTTATTAATTATTTTACGAAGATTTGTGCTCAATTTGTGCTGTCTTACTTTATGTCAATGACAAAATTAGGCGGAGCTTGTGGAAGCCACGTGGAAAGTGGTCCGACATCACTCACTCATTTCCAGGAAGGGGAGCATTTCATTAGTAACCATTAGTAAGTTAGTAAGTTAGTAACCATTAGTAACCATTAGTAACCATTAACCACTCATTTCCAGGAAGGGGAGCATTTCATTAGTAACCATTGGTAACCATTAGTAACCATTAGTCACTCATTTCCAGGAAGGGGAGCATTTCATTCCACTTCTTTAGTTTAGTAGTAGTATTGATGAAGGAGCACACAAGTAGTAGTATTTGTGAAGGAGCACACAAGTAGTAGTATTTGTGAAGGAGCACACAATTATTAGTAGTTCCAGTAAAAGTTTACTAAGATATTACTAGAGTAGTTGATATCTAGAATATCTAGAATCAGTTGCTAAATTTTACAGTAATGGGAGTAATTCATAATCTTCTGAATTTGGTTTTGAATTAATGTGGTCATTTTTGAATTACAGTTAAAGATTAAATTTATGCTTATTGTAGAACTAAAAACAAAAAAACCAACCAAACAACCAAAAGAAACCTGAAAAACAAATCCCTTAGAGAAAAAAAATCGTCAGTACAGATTGGATTGAATTTTTTGGGTTTTTGGGTTACAAACATTTAGTTGGAGCAAATTTGTAACTTTCGGGGATCTTAAGTGATACAATGTGTTAGAATATCTGGATGTTGTGTATAGTAATAATATTTTGGTGTTAAAAGATATATCGAGTACTAAAAGAGTAGCCAAAGAAATAGTTTTTATAGAAAAGCAGCCTTGTTACCATGGTTACCCTTGTTTACAACTAGGGTTACATTTGATGAACCGTGTAATTATAGTATATTGTAGTATTTTGTAGTATATTGTAGTATATAATACATATATGATATGTAAATCACACATATTGTAATATATTTTATTAGTTTTGAGTTTGACTGAGTTTAACGTGATATTATCCAACAAATAACTGGTAATTGAACATCAAAACTCTTCGGAAATACATTCAGTGTAGCTTTGTCAGGTGTATAATAATATAATGCACATAATATTAGCATCTAGTCACTAGATGAGTATGTCTAGTGAGTAAGTCTAGCATCTTAAGTAAGGAACCTTCCTTTCATTTATATATATTATGATATTGCTAATATTATGGGTAACTTGTTGAGCAGGGTAATGTTTGTTTTATCAACATAATCTCATCCCTAATTTTGAATACAACATTCCTGATTATGCATATAATTACGGTATCTCAAAAGATCCTGGATGTATTTACCCATGGGTTTCTGCAGAATGTACAATTAGAAAATGTTTTAAAATATACCGCAAATATTAAAAGTTAAACTTGCTAGAAGTGGTACTGTATGAATCAGGTCAAATTTCATACTTCTCACATTTTCATGCTCAAAAACAAATTAGAATGTCATTCGATAAAATACATGACATAACGGGAAATACTGTACAGGGACACAATGAATTATGGCGTACATGGTGTTGCAGGACCAATAAACACGATAAAAGGGCTGTCTATAAATAGTTTAGAATATTGACCAGGTGAACTCGATCGTTGCCAAAAATGGACTAATTTAGTGCGATGGTGACAGTGTAGTGCGATAGCATCATCTTTATCGAGCGTTAGATAATGTCTCAATACCTTGCTTCTACATTAATCATGTACCTTATTGGTGGATTTTAAATCGTTACGTTGCTCTGAGTATTATTGCGAGAGAGAAAAGTTTGTTGCTTGTGATTCCCAGACTAATTGCTGTAAGATTTATATCTTGTATCCCGACACAAATGCTACCCTTGCGTAATTTGTACTTTAAGTAAGCCGTAGTAGATCATCATGAAGTTTCAACATAAATTTGGGGCAAAATGCCAAGATGCGACGTTCAAGGTTAGTATGCGTAACGCGCGAAAACATTTTTACGGCGAAAGTTAGTCCCTATTTTTGTTCGCAATCGTCATTTACCGCGCGGGCGCCGCGCATTTAACTGTCCAGGTCAGCCGCGCAGGCCGGGGCTAAATCCGTTCGTAGACTGTTCCGTGTATTTTGGGAACCTTATATTATATTGTTCATGTCGTGAAACTGACAACTGACAGCCAAACAAATGTGCATATCTTAAAAACGGTCAGTTATTTAACGTAAAACTTAAATGTGTTAAGTAAAGTAGTAAAGTAAAGTAAAATTTATGACATCACATCATCATGACACATGTCTACAAAATATCATCGCACTGTTTACCTGGGGACCACAGGCTATTATGTTCATAAACAGGCTATATGTTCATAAACATGGAACCAAAGATAATTGTTACATCATGCGACTGTCTTCAGTGCACTCTTATTTAATCTGATGCCCACCTTCTAATTATTTCTTGTACATGTAACACCTAACTTTACGTCCATCAACCCAGTGCATACCCTAACCTGTGAAATTTTCCAGAGAACGACATCTTGTGAAACTTAAGGAGGAAGAACTGCGTCGAAGAGATGAAGAAGAAAGGCAGCGGCGGGATGATGAAGTCAGGGTAGCTGAAGAGAGACGAGCCGCGCAGCAGGCAGCTGCTGAAGCCAAGGCCCTCGCAAAGGCCCAGGAGGAAGCCACTGTGAGTTTAAAGTGACCTTTTTCTATTACTCGACAGTGCAATTTAAATAATTTTATCCACAGTAATCGGCTTAACTGATAAGCTGATTGTGACTCTGAGCACCTCTCATCTTGTGACTCTGAGCACCTCTCAATCTTGTGACTCTGAACACCTCTCAATCTTGTGACTCTGAGCACCTCTCAATCTTGTGACTCTGAGCACCTCTCAATCTTGTGACTCTGAGCACCTCTCAATCTTGTGACTCTGAGCACCTCTCAATCTTGTGACTCTGAGCACCTCTCGATCTTGTGACTCTGAACACCTCTCAATCTTGTGACTCTGAGCACCTCTCAATCTTGTGACTCTGAACACCTCTCAATCTTGTGACTCTGAGCACCTCTCAATCTTGTGACTCTGAACACCTCTCAATCTTGTGACTCTGAGCACCTCTCAATCTTGTGACTCTGAGCACCTCTCAATCTTGTGACTCTGAGCACCTCTCAATCTTGTGACTCTAAGCACCTCTCAATCTTGTGACTCTGAGCACCTCTCAATCTTGTGACTCTGAGCACCTCTCATCTTGTGACTCTGAGCACCTCTCATCTTGTGACTCTGAACACCTCTCAATCTTGTGACTCTGAACACCTCTCAATCTTGTGACTCTGAGCACCTCTCAATCTTGTGACTCTGAGCACCTCTCAATCTTGTGACTCTGAGCACCTCTCAATCTTGTGACTCTGAGCACCTCTCAATCTTGTGACTCTGAGCACCTATCAATCTTGTGACTCTGAGCACCTCTCAATCTTGTGACTCTGAGCACCTCTCAATCTTGTGACTCTGAGCACCTCTCAATCTTGTGACTCTGAGCACCTATCAATCTTGTGACTCTGAGCACCTCTCAATCTTGTGACTCTGAACACCTCTCAATCTTGTGACTCTGAGCACCTCTCAATCTTGTGACTCTGAGCACCTCTCAATCTTGTGACTCTGAGCACCTCTCAATCTTGTGACTCTGAGCACCTCTCAATCTTGTGACTCTGAGCACCTCTCAATCTTGTGACTCTGAGCACCTCTCAATCTTGTGACTCTGAGCACCTCTCAATCTTGTGACTCTGAGCACCTCTCAATCTTGTGACTCTGAACACCTCTCAATCTTGTGACTCTGAGCACCTCTCAATCTTGTGACTCTGAGCACCTCTCAATCTTGTGACTCTGAGCACCTCTCAATCTTGTGACTCTGAGCACCTCTCAATCTTGTGACTCTGAGCACCTCTCAATCTTGTGACTCTGAGCACCTCTCAATCTTGTGACTCTGAGCACCTCTCATCTTGTGACTCTGAACACCTCTCAATCTTGTGACTCTGAGCACCTCTCAATCTTGTGACTCTGAGCACCTCTCAATCTTGTGACTCTGAGCACCTCTCAATCTTGTGACTCTGAACACCTCTCAATCTTGTGACTCTGAGCACCTCTCAATCTTGTGACTCTGAACACCTCTCAATCTTGTGACTCTGACACCTCTCAATCTTGTGACTCTGAGCACCTCTCAATCTTGTGACTCTGAGCACCTCTCAATCTTGTGACTCTGAGCACCTCTCAATCTTGTGACTCTGAGCACCTCTCAATCTTGTGACTCTGAGCACCTCTCAATCTTGTGACTCTGAGCACCTCTCAATCTTGTGACTCTGAGCACCTCTCAATCTTGTGACTCTGAGCACCTCTCAATCTTGTGACTCTGAGCACCTCTCAATCTTGTGACTCTGAACACCTCTCAATCTTGTGACTCTGAGCACCTCTCAATCTTGTGACTCTGAGCACCTCTCAATCTTGTGACTCTGAGCACCTCTCAATCTTGTGACTCTGAGCACCTCTCAATCTTGTGACTCTGAGCACCTCTCAATCTTGTGACTCTGAGCACCTCTCAATCTTGTGACTCTGAACACCTCTCAATCTTGTGACTCTGAGCACCTCTCAATCTTGTGACTCTGAGCACCTCTCAATCTTGTGACTCTGAGCACCTCTCAATCTTGTGACTCTGAGCACCTCTCAATCTTGTGACTCTGAGCACCTCTCAATCTTGTGACTCTGAGCACCTCTCAATCTTGTGACTCTGAGCACCTCTCATCTTGTGACTCTGAACACCTCTCAATCTTGTGACTCTGAGCACCTCTCAATCTTGTGACTCTGAGCACCTCTCAATCTTGTGACTCTGAGCACCTCTCAATCTTGTGACTCTGAACACCTCTCAATCTTGTGACTCTGAGCACCTCTCAATCTTGTGACTCTGAGCACCTCTCAATCTTGTGACTCTGACACCTCTCAATCTTGTGACTCTGAGCACCTCTCAATCTTGTGACTCTGAGCACCTCTCAATCTTGTGACTCTGAGCACCTCTCAATCTTGTGACTCTGAGCACCTCTCAATCTTGTGACTCTGAGCACCTCTCAATCTTGTGACTCTGAGCACCTCTCAATCTTGTGACTCTGAGCACCTCTCAATCTTGTGACTCTGAGCACCTCTCAATCTTGTGACTCTGAGCACCTCTCAATCTTGTGACTCTGAGCACCTCTCAATCTTGTGACTCTGAGCACCTCTCAATCTTGTGACTCTGAGCACCTCTCATCTTGTGACTCTGAACACCTCTCAATCTTGTGACTCTGAGCACCTCTCAATCTTGTGACTCTGAGCACCTCTCAATCTTGTGACTCTGAGCACCTCTCAATCTTGTGACTCTGAGCACCTCTCAATCTTGTGACTCTGAGCACCTCTCAATCTTGTGACTCTGAGCACCTCTCAATCTTGTGACTCTGACACCTCTCAATCTTGTGACTCTGAGCACCTCTCAATCTTGTGACTCTGAGCACCTCTCAATCTTGTGACTCTGAGCACCTCTCAATCTTGTGACTCTGAGCACCTCTCAATCTTGTGACTCTGAGCACCTCTCAATCTTGTGACTCTGAGCACCTCTCAATCTTGTGACTCTGAGCACCTCTCAATCTTGTGTCTCTGAGCACCTCTCAATCTTGTGACTCTGAGCACCTCTCAATCTTGTGACTCTGAGCACCTCTCAATCTTGTGACTCTGAACACCTCTCAATCTTGTGACTCTGAGCACCTCTCAATCTTGTGACTCTGGCACCTCTCAATCTTGTGACTCTGAGCACCTCTCAATCTTGTGACTCTGAACACCTCTCAATCTTGTGACTCTGAGCACCTCTCATCTTGTGACTCTGAGCACCTCTCAATCTTGTGACTCTGAACACCTCTCAATCTTGTGACTCTGAGCACCTCTCAATCTTGTGACTCTGCGCACCTCTCAATCTTGTGACTCTGAGCACCTCTCAATCTTGTGACTCTGAACACCTCTCAACCTTGTGACTCTGAGCACCTCTCAATCTTGTGACTCTGAGCACCTCTCAATCTTGTGACTCTGAACACCTCTCAATCTTGTGACTCTGAGCACCTCTCAATCCTTGTGACTCTGAGCACCTCTCAATCTTGTGACTCTGAGCACCTCTCAATCTTGTGACTCTAAGCACCTCTCAATCTTGTGACTCTGAGCACCTCTCAATCTTGTGACTCTGAGCACCTCTCAATCTTGTGACTCTGAGCACCTCTCAATCTTGTGACTCTGAACACCTCTCAATCTTGTGACTCTGAACACCTCTCAATCTTGTGACTCTGAGCACCTCTCAATCTTGTGACTCTGAGCACCTCTCAATCTTGTGACTCTGAGCACCTCTCAATCTTGTGACTCTGAGCACCTCTCAATCTTGTGACTCTGAGCACCTATCAATCTTGTGACTCTGAGCACCTCTCAATCTTGTGACTCTGAGCACCTCTCAATCTTGTGACTCTGAGCACCTCTCAATCTTGTGACTCTGAGCACCTATCAATCTTGTGACTCTGAGCACCTCTCAATCTTGTGACTCTGAACACCTCTCAATCTTGTGACTCTGAGCACCTCTCAATCTTGTGACTCTGAGCACCTCTCAATCTTGTGACTCTGAGCACCTCTCAATCTTGTGACTCTGAGCACCTCTCAATCTTGTGACTCTGAGCACCTCTCAATCTTGTGACTCTGAGCACCTCTCAATCTTGTGACTCTGAGCACCTCTCAATCTTGTGACTCTGAGCACCTCTCAATCTTGTGACTCTGAACACCTCTCAATCTTGTGACTCTGAGCACCTCTCAATCTTGTGACTCTGAGCACCTCTCAATCTTGTGACTCTGAGCACCTCTCAATCTTGTGACTCTGAGCACCTCTCAATCTTGTGACTCTGAGCACCTCTCAATCTTGTGACTCTGAGCACCTCTCAATCTTGTGACTCTGAGCACCTCTCATCTTGTGACTCTGAACACCTCTCAATCTTGTGACTCTGAGCACCTCTCAATCTTGTGACTCTGAGCACCTCTCAATCTTGTGACTCTGAGCACCTCTCAATCTTGTGACTCTGAACACCTCTCAATCTTGTGACTCTGAGCACCTCTCAATCTTGTGACTCTGAACACCTCTCAATCTTGTGACTCTGACACCTCTCAATCTTGTGACTCTGAGCACCTCTCAATCTTGTGACTCTGAGCACCTCTCAATCTTGTGACTCTGAGCACCTCTCAATCTTGTGACTCTGAGCACCTCTCAATCTTGTGACTCTGAGCACCTCTCAATCTTGTGACTCTGAGCACCTCTCAATCTTGTGACTCTGAGCACCTCTCAATCTTGTGACTCTGAGCACCTCTCAATCTTGTGACTCTGAGCACCTCTCAATCTTGTGACTCTGAACACCTCTCAATCTTGTGACTCTGAGCACCTCTCAATCTTGTGACTCTGAGCACCTCTCAATCTTGTGACTCTGAGCACCTCTCAATCTTGTGACTCTGAGCACCTCTCATCTTGTGACTCTGAACACCTCTCAATCTTGTGACTCTGAGCACCTCTCAATCTTGTGACTCTGAGCACCTCTCAATCTTGTGACTCTGAGCACCTCTCAATCTTGTGACTCTGACACCTCTCTAGACACCTCTAGCTCTCAGTTACCAGGGTTACTCTCTCAGGCATCAGCCATCAAAGAAGCTCGTCGTCAAGCTGACGCGAAGGCCAAACGTGATGAGCAATTACGCCGTGAAGAACAATCGAGAAGGGAAGAACAGGCACGGCATGCTGCCGCTGAACAAGCTGCTGCTGTAAAGAGACGAGAACAGGAAAATGTTTGGGCAACAAAGGTGTCTAAATCACCTCCAGCGCAGGAGAACACGAATCCTTGGGCTAACATGGTTAGTGGAACAACTGGGGAAGTGGCCGGGGGGCACAACTTGGGGAGGGGGGGGGGACAACCTGGGGAGGGGGGAGGGGGGGCACAACTTGTTGTTGGTTTTCTTCAGTCGACATTCAAGTTTAGTTCTGTGCGGCTAGCTTTATAAAAGGAAAAATTAAGGGATTCGTACAGATTTACATAGATTAGAAGCATGACTACTTGTGCTGCTTGCTGGATACTGTCAGTGAGCAACCTCTTTTCCAAGCTGTTAAACAATTTACACATTTTGTAACTACACTACCACTGTTTCAGCCTAAAACGAATGTTACCAAATCTGCTACACGAACTCACCAACCCACCACGAAAACGTGGGGTAAACCTGATGCTGTGTCAATACCGCTCTCTCAAATTCAGCAAGATGAGGCCAAGATGAAGAAATCCGCCCCTGTAAGAACCTTTTATATGTTTCAGAACAACTTAAAATTTGCCAGAATTGGGTCATAGCAAAGTATCTCAAATTAGAAATTTATTCAAAGATGATTTTATGATTAGCTTTAATAAACAAATGTCCTCATTGTCCTCATTGTCCTCACTGTCCTCAGAGAACGCAAGCGCATCCTGAGCCAGTAGTATCTAGAGCTACAACATGGGCCACACAGAAGCAGCCCTCAAAGACCAGATCTCTGGCGGAGATTCAGCGCGAGGAGGAGAGAAGAACCACCCAGGAACAGAATCTTAACTACGTGAGTAACCATAGTAACCTCCAGGTAACCCAGGAACAGAATCTTAACTACGTAAGTGGGGGAGGTCGTGGTAACTTTTGCTGGCGTTGATTCGTAAGGTGGACTGATGTTTTGCGTGTTGTTTAATGAATGATCTGTATTGAAGGGAACGAATTTTAGGTTTCAAATATTTTGGAAACTTTGCGATTGTTCTGACATGGGGATATAAGGTTTCACATTCAGCCAGCATTTTCTGTAAAACTTCTAGAATCTTGAACTAACCCAACCCTCAACACAGGCCCAAAACAACGACTGGAACCCAGTAGCGGGAATGTTAGAAGATGATCCCAGACCTGCTCCCAAGAAACAGACCAAACCTCCGCCGAAGAAACCGCAACAGCAACAGCAACAGCAACCTAAAGCTCCCACTAAGTAAGTAGCTCTCAACTACGTAAGTAACCATAGTAACCTCCAGGTAACCCAGCAACAGGAGTGGTAACTTTTGCTTATCCCGCCTCTTGAAGTAGCTCTCAACTTTCATGTGCTTCTTCGGACAGGATCAACATTTATTATTGGTTTTGGTGATTTGCAATTTCTGATAAAGTGCTAACGTTAGCCAAGGAATATGGATACCACTTACTTTGTGTCCACAAATTGTTTTCGACACCCTGAATCTACTTTTGAAAGCTTCAATTATAGTGACCTTGAACAACCGCTTCTTTCCCCCGACTGCCCTGTTGGTGACCCTATGGTAACCAGTCAGTGACTGTTTATAACCGGATGTTGCCCTATGGTGACCAGTCAGTGACCGTTTATAACCGGATGTTGCCTCTGAACTGCCCTGTTGGTGATCCTATGGTAACCAGTCAGTGACCGTTTATAACCGAATGTTGCCCACAGTCAGTGACCGTTTATAACCGGATGTTGCCCACGACTGCCCTGTTGGTGATCCTATGGTAACCAGTCAGTGACCGTTTATAACCGGATGTTGCCCACAGTCAGTGACCGTTTATAACCGGATGTTGCCCACAGGAAGAAGAACAACCAGGCACCATTACTCGACATGTTTGCCAACTCTACCCCAAAGGACGAGTTTACAATCTGGTGTGAATCTCAAGTGTCGGGTTTCAAGAACCAGCACATAGACGGTAACTGAAATTACCATGGTAACTGTAGTAACCATGGTAACTGTAGTAATTATTTAATCTTACCCTAAAACGTGCATATTACTATCATTCTTGTGTGTTTTATTTCAGTTATTTCACTTTTACGCTTCTGTGGAAATCCTGAGCAACAGTTTAATGTCCGAACTTTTGATCACTTTTCTTCGTACCTGTTCGCTGGTATTTTGATTTAAAACATAAAAAACAGACAAATTCGATTAAATATTTGATTGACTAATTTATATTATATTTGATAAATTAAATTAAACAATCAATAACTCAGTTCCGACGTTTATTTCGTTTCTCCGTGATGTTGAGTCTCCGAGGGAGGTGCGAGAATACGTTGTCAGCTACCTGGGGGACACACTTTCAACTGACAAGTTCATACAGGTCAGATATTTTGATATAATTTTTACTTTTTTTACAATTAAACTTTCGTTTTCTTGCTTACGTTATAGTTGGTCTTTTAAAAGTACGTGTATAATACGGACACAGTGCCGCAGTGGGGAACACTTGCACAGTGGGGAACACTTGCACAGTGGGGACCACTTGCACAGTGGGGAACACTTGCACAGTGGGGAACACTTGCACAGTGGGGACCACTTGCACAGTGGGGACCACTTGCACAGTGGGGATCACTTGCACAGTGGGGATCACTTGCACAGTGTGGACCACTGCAGCACCACTGTGCTGTGGTCCAAGAAACAGTTATTTTATAGTGACAATCCCAAATTGATGAAAATCATCCCAAAGACGTGATTTTAGAGCTTAAAGTGAATTTCTGTCTTCAAGACTTCACAACCTCTTACCAAAATTGGCATTATCTTAGTTTGCCGATTGGTATACTAAACTGTTATATTTTACCAAATGGGCTCTGCACTAACATAATCTTACTATATATAAAGCGAGACGATATATATGGATGTGTTTATCCGTACCATTTTACTGACACCACGGCATCAACTTTAACGCGACTTTCCGCAAAAACCGTAAAAGATATACAACTGATACTTTTTTGACTGGGTCAAATGCTTTAATGGCCTCCAAATCAGCATGAAAAAATAAAAAATTGGCCAAGGAATAGGAGTTTTAGAGCCCAAAATTTGAACCCCCAAGTGGTGTCAAAAACGCGAATTAAATAGGTAATAATTATTTAGTCTCTTGAGTCTTGACACTATTTTAGGGTTATACCTTTATACGGGTTCCTGCTAGTATTATGTAATATGTATACTAAACTATTCATGACATCCGACAGAAGACTCATTTCTAACCGCTCCAACCCGCCATTATTATGATTATGTCACTCATACAGAAACCAGATGGCCGCACAAACCCCCACGTGACTAAACGCCGCCGCGCAAACCCCCACGTGACTAAACGCCGCGCATTATTTGTTACCAAGTCATATTATTCCGTAATGTTACCACCGAACAACCCCTCATTTTATGCGTCTCTCTTGAATGTGCCAGATGGTCCTGATGTCTCTTTCGTGTTATTTGGGGAAGTCAGTCAGGTTTAACTCCTGGTTGTTTCGTAATGATGACCAGGTGTGGGATGTTAGGTAATATGTAAATATGTAAAGTTAAACTGTACTCCTGTTTTATACGGGGTGATATGGAGATGTTGGAGATGTGCCAATAACTGTCAAGGTAGGCTGGTTCCTGCTTATCTACAATATCTGCCGGGATCGTAATGTTGGTCAAAGCTTCTCATAGATCATCTAAGATGGATGACGAATGTAATTCGCATGCAATGATTAAGATTATGGTTTTTTAAATGCTGAACTTATTCGCAAACTGCAAATGGTACGATGTAAAGTTAATGGATATTATCGCCTGCATCGCCTCTCCCCTGCGCACGCCCCTGATATTATCCTTCCACTTTTGAGATCATTAGAAAATGGATAGTTTTCGTGCGGTACCATTAATATTATATATATATATATATTATTAACCAGGTTACAATAAACGACCAAATTTCTATTTAACCTGGTTTAATTTCAGGAATTTATAGCTAAGAGGAAGACGGCTAACAACAAAGGAGCAGCTCCTGATACAGCTCAGGTAGCAACACTTCTCTAGATTATTAGTTATTTCATTATTAATAATAATTAATTAGTTATTTCATTATTAATAATAATTGCTCCTATCGCTTGTCAGTTGTCAAACATTTGTTTTAACTCCCAACTAACAACTCAAAACTTCCCAGGCTAACAACACAAACAACAAAGGAAATGCAGGAGGAGCTCAACAGGCTACCCAACCACAGACCACCTCTAAACGCGGTAAACGCAAGAAGATGCAGAAAGTAAACGCTGCTTCACTCCTTGGAATCAACTGTACGGCAAGCAGTGACGCGCGCAACAGAGGTGACATCGACAGCGTGGTCATCCAATAATATTTAGATGTTACCATGGTTACCACCTAGATGATGGAGCGGGAAAATTTCCCGAAAGAGGCGGGACCCCGGGCTTCTTCTCACTTTTCTAACATGGTCGTTTTGATTGTTTAGAGTCGGTGTTTTGGATCGGCAGTTGAGATCTGTAATTGGTTTCTGATTAAATGAAATTAAAGTGTAGTTCATTTAGATTTCATTGTTTTAATTTTACAGTTAAAAGACTTAGAGATGTCTTGAAGTACATAATAAAGTATTTCACGCCGTCACGGTGCTAACTTTTGTTTTACTACCAGTGCCACACTAGATTTCCCAGGGCCAACCAATTTCTGCTCCCCTGCTCAGAATACAAATTACAGCTGACCCCGTGAATTTGTCATGAGATCCCCTCCCCACTCTCACTCACATGATAATTATCACAGACAATCCAATTCCATATCTTCCATAATAATATCTGAAGAAAGTCCTAGACACAAGGTCCTCTGCGGAACATCTGCTACACCACACGGAACTAACCAGTCATAGTCTCGAGATCACCCCATAGTTACACCACTAGTTACCACTAGTTACCACTAGTTACCACTAGTTACCACTAGTTACCTACCTCCGCAGAACATCCACGGAATTAGTCTCGACATCACCCCATATCCCGAGCACAACCTGCCCGTCATATTGACATTGTCACCGCTTATTATCAGACCGATATAACGTCCGGAGTTGCGCGCTTTGTAGGAGCCCACGTGGGCACATCACGTGACCTTAGGAGCCCACGTGCCGGTTCAGCTGGCGACCAGGACAGGTTATCAGATTGGGGTGATACTAACTACTTGTTAAAGGTTGGACAAGTTGTCGTGAACGGCACCTCGTCCCTTTGTTCCTTCTGTCAGTCGAGTACTACAGCTGAAGAAATAATAGGAAGCTACCCGCAATGTTATTCCGTGTGATACAGTTTCAGAGATAGTAGATGTAAGTTGGGGGCCAGTAGGGCTAGCTTAAGTTGGGGCCCCAGTAGGGCTAGCTTAGTGTAATATGTAAGTTGGGGGCCCCAGTAGGGCTAGCTTAGTGTAAGATGTAAGTTGGGGGCCAGTAGGGCTAGCTTAGTGTAAGATGTAAGTTGGGGGCTTGCCCCAGTAGGGCTAGCTTAGTGTAAGATGTAAGTTGGGGGCCAGTAGGGCTAGCTTAGTGTAAGATGTAAGTTGGGGGCTTGCCCCAGTAGGGCTAGCTTAGTGTAAGATGTCAGTTGGGGGCTTGCCCCAGTAGGGATAGCTTAGTGTAAGATGTAAGTTGGGGGCCAGTAGGGCTAGCTTAGTGTAAGATGTAAGTTGGGGGCTTGCCCCAGTAGGGCTAGCTTAGTGTAAGATGTCAGTTGGGGGCCCCCAGTAGGGCTAGCTTAGTGTAAGATGTAAGTTGGGGGCCAGTAGGGCTAGCTTAGTGTAAGATGTAAGTTGGGGGCTTGCCCCAGTAGGGCTAGCTTAGTGTAAGATGTAAGTTGGGGGCCAGTAGGGCTAGCTTAGTGTAAGATGTAAGTTGGGGGCTTGCCCCAGTAGGGCTAGCTTAGTGTAAGATGTAAGTTGGGGGCCAGTAGGGCTAGCTTAGTGTAAGATGTAAGTTGGGGGCCATTAGGGCTAGCTTAGTGTAAGATGTTAGTTGGGGGCCAGTAGGGCTAGCTTAGTGTAAGATGTAAGTCGGGGGCCAGTAGGGCTAGCTTAGTGTAAGATGTAAGTTGGGGGCCAGTAGGGCTAGCTTAGTGTAAGATGTAAGTTGGGACTTGGGGGCCAGTAGGGCTAGCTTAGTGTAAGATGTAAGTTGGGGGCCCCAGTATGGCTAGCTTAGTGTAAGATGTAAGTTGGGGGCTTGCCCCAGTAGGGCTAGCTTAGTGTAAGATGTAAGTTGGGGGCCAGTAGGGCAAGCTTAGCTACTTTTAGCTTTTTAGTTGCAACAGTTCCCTCGGAGGCACTTACAAAACCTGTTGGGCGGGGGGGGGGGGGGGGCTAGTTGTCCTAGATCTCTATGACTACCATTTTAATAATATATATATAACAATATAATTTACAATAATGCGACAAGATTTGAATCATCAATTAATTGAGTCCATGGAACTCACAATTAGCTAAGCTTTGATACAAAGCATGGTAGATATAACTTGTCTTCATCACGCAGACTCTACAAACATTCTTCAGTGTTCAGCTCTTAACTTTTGTAAACTCTAAGGCCCTTTAGTTGATACCACCTCGTGTTAGTACTCCTTCATAAACACATGAACACCTACGTGCTCCGTAATCGAGGGAACTATTCCTGCACTCCTTTATAAACTTTACCGGTAGTTAGCTGATATTTGACTTGTCGGCGCCAGTCGTGAAGGTGTACTGTTCTCATAGCTGACACGCTCTTTACAAAGTAAGAAAGTAACCAAGGTAACGAGACTAAAGGAGTTTATAGCGCCTCTATACAGTTTGTATGGTTTGTCCTCGACTTAATTTAATTTATTAATTTCATGCTGTTCTAGGGATAGAACAATTATTTTAAATAGCTGTTCAAGATATAATTTATTAGAAATTATGTTGTTTTTAGCGCCTTTGTCACTATATTTATATAATTAGTATAACTAACTAATGTACCGTAGCTGTGTACCCAGTAACCATGGTAACACCCAGTAACCATGGTAAAACACTGCAGACTCGTTGTTAATTGTTTTACTCCTTCGGTTGCCAAGTTTTAGTTATAATGGGTGATTGGTAATTGATATCCAGGTATCCGACTGGAAGTGGATATGGGCATTAAATTTAAAATAATTTCCAGCCAAGAATACGAAAGTTTTCCCCTCTTTCTTATTTTTTTTTGGCCTCGGATGTTCAATGTCTCCTTTTTCTCTGTCCCTGCAATTATACCAGTGTAACATCCTCACTTTAAAAAACACTACTATACTGATCATAACATCGTAACAAGTTTCTGGTATACTAATACTATATCCTCACTTTAAAGTTTCTGGTATATCCTCACTTTAAAAAACACGAACGTCAACTGTCGTCGCCTGTATTTGTAGTCGTACATCTAAATGATCCTTAATTATAAGATATATATACTTAATTAGGATATAACTAGTCGTTAATTACCTAAAAACATTACTCCCAAACGTTACTATTAAGTATCCACCTTTTCAAATTTGACCTCAAACACTCACACCATTACACCATGCAACCGCTCTTATGTATTGACATTGTTTTGATCGCTGAGAACATTATTTCTTCAATATCTCTAGATTTTAAGCTCCATGCAGTGGTTGTTATCTCTACTTTGTACTTGTTTATCTCCCATTGTCCTGACCTAAATTAATTCATCTACTTGTCAACAAATTAGAGAATAATGTCACCTTCACAGTTCTAGATCAGACCAAGATTTGTCTCTAAATTGATCACTACTATTATTATATTCATTAATTCTAGTTTAACAGATCTCAGCTATTCATCATATTATGGCCCAAGATTATATTTTTTACTATTAATACAATCCTCGCATAACTGAAATTGTTTTTAACTTATTTCTTAAATTCTTGCTTATATTTACAAATATGAGAATGTCTCTGAGTCTGGATTAGACGCACGGTTGCAGTATAGTAAGGGGCCGTTCACATCTTACGTAATCACTTCTTGAAAAACGTTTACGTAATATGTGAACTCTGTACTCTGTGCCCTGTGCTCTGTACTTTGTACTCTGTGCTCTATGCTCTGTGCATGCTTTCTTATCTGACAACATTTGGAGGCAAACAATAATCCAGAATCCTATTGCTATACCAATCCCATAACCACGACCATAGTATAGTAGCAGCTGCACATGCTCAGAAATCCGGCTCAGTTTCAAATTAGGCAGCATTAAATTGAACTGACTGTCGCCAAACTACCCTTCTATATAACACAATTATTGATTCTACAGAACAAAATAAAATATAATCCTAGTATAGTAGTAGGAACCCTGTCATGTATGACTATGGTTATGAAGCTGCTCAGTGAGTGACAATATATTAATTCTCTCCCCGCTGCAGGAGCAGCTGTGCACCCAGTAACCATGGTAACACATCCCCATGGAGATGAAAGCCTCCTACTAACCACAGAGTCACGCTCTGTGACTCTTCAAAACGCGTCATTAATTTAGACAGCCTCACCCTGACCTCTACCTGATCTCCCTCCTCTCCTGATCTCTCTACCTGGGTTTAATATTCAATTACATAATTTGATCACGTGAGAGTTGCCTGAGATCAGGTTGACCTATTCCTCGGAGCCGTTGTCAGGTGTACTTTGTATCATGTGCCCCTCGTATGAGTCAGGCCTTTTGATAATTATGCAGTTGGGAGTTGAACTTGAACTTCTTGGACTCTTTCAGTATGGTTCGGGGCTTATGAACGAATTCTGGAATAATAATAATGGAAAGATGCTACATATCCAACTTAATAATAAGCTGCAGTTAACTGCAGAACACCAGCTGCAGTTAACTGCAGTACACGTACCAGCTGCTCTCATCACAAATTAAACTTATCAATTGGCCATCCAATGTGAACAGAACTATTATATGTCCTTTATTTGTTGGAAAATTGAGGTTAACATATTTTCTCAGAATCAGTCTTTTGACTCTCCTGAACAATTTATTTACCACCTCAAAAACCTATCTTCTCCTAGAGCTTTTATCCATTTCACCTCAAATTTGGAACTTATGTTCCTGACATAAATTTAAAAGTTTCTCAGCATATCTCAGCTTTGGAGCAAGATATCATGAATCTTTACATAAAAAAAACTCAAAATACCTTGAAGAACATTGTTGCCAAGGTTGACAAGGTTCTAAATCATAAACTGAAAAAGAAGATAGATTTTGAACACAATTTCATTTAAAGTTTTCATTTACAATAGAATTACAGGTAAACCTCAAAATTCAACGCGCGATATCTTCAAATAGGAAACTTTGTTTTCGGTAAGGACAAAAGCATTTGAAAATTTAGATCGAGCTCTACAACATATCTCAAAATCTCAAAATTGACCTCGGACCCCCCCCCCCCTGTGGCCTTAACTGCAGTACACCAGCTGCAGTTAACTGCAGTACACCAGCTGCAGTTAACTGCAGTACACCAGCTGCAGTTAACTGCAGTACACCAGCTGCAGTTAACTGCAGTACACCAGCTGCAGTTAACTGCAGTACACCAGCTG